TCACTTACTCACTCACTCACTCGTTCACTCACTGCCTGCTTCCTGAGCGCCCACGTGTCTCAGGCAAGGTCTAGCGCAGCAGCCGTGCCACCACGCAGACACCCCTGGCCCAATCCCTTTTGTCCTGTGGGTCGTACACTTTGCCGGTGAAGACAGACAGCCAACAAGATAAGCAAGCCAAGCAGTTGTTAGTGGAAGTGCCAGGGGGAGGCACAGTTTCGGACCCGGTGGGAGGGAATCCGCGGGCCATCTGGGGACCAGCGTGGAGGCAGGTGCCAAGGCTCTGGGGCACAGGTTGGCCTGGACGGTGGTGGCTGCAGGGGAGTGTGGGAGGTGAAGAGCCTTTGGCCAGTTTTGGGCAGAGGAAAGGCCTGTGTGGTTTGCACGTGTGTAGGGTTCCTCTGCTGTGGGGTTGAGACTGGGGAGGGGCAGGGCGGGAGCAGGGGGCCAGGTAGGAGCTTCCACAGTCATCCGGCGGCTCTGGTGGGAGCTTGGGCCAGCCCGGCACAGCTGCCGCGGAGGCCCGGAGGCCGGGACCTGGCTGGTTTCAGAAAGCCGGCCCTGCAGGCCCCCCTGGTGGGCTGCATGTGGGTGTGAGAGGAAGAGAGGCATCCCAGAGGGCCCCCTACTTCTGGCCCGATGGCTGGAAAACCCGAGACAGTTCTGGCTGCACTTGGATGCGGTGGGTTTACGATGCCCGTTTACGATGCTGTTCTGCATCCCGGTGGCGATGTTGAGTGGGCATTTAGAAAGCAGGGTCTGCGGTCCAGGGGGGAGGTCCTGGCTGCAGGTGAACCTTCAGGGAGCGAGTGGGGTTTATGGCTCCACGTGGGGCTCCAGGCAGGGCTGGGCAGCCCTGGTGTGATGAGTGTACTGGGGAGACAAAGGCATCAGGACACAATTGGGTCCAAGCTGCTGCAGAACATCCAGGCTGGACCCCTTGCCTCGCCGTCGGACCCAAACGGCCTCTGTTACCTTCCTGGTCACCGAGGGAGAGAGCCCCGTGAGAAGCATGATGACAGAGTTCAAAGAATTGATTGCTTCTTCTGGCGGAGTTATCGGAGTTAATGAATTCTAAGCAGATCTATTTTTGAAAGGATGCATTTGAGTCTATCCATATGGCGACCATCCTTCCCAAACCCGGGGCCAGGGACACTGCCTGACACACGGGCTGATGGATGGCCGGGGGATGCGACAGGAATATCTGCAGTCCGGCTGTCTCGCCTCGGTCCCTCATTTATTCCCCCCGCACGCCGGCAGGATATTAAGAACTCACAGTCTCCTGTTATCTCCACGCGTGTCCGCACTTGTAATGGGTTGACTTCAGTAAACCTATTTGGAGGCTGTTATCTCTGGCTTGTGTTTCGGTGGCGAGGAGGGGGGGGTCTAGGAAAGTAATACAGTAGTTAGAGTGCGTTTTTCAATTTTCTGCCCATCATACTGTGCCGGAGAGAAAGCTTTGCGGGGAGGCGGAAGGATATTAAGAACTCACAGTCTCCTGTTATCTCCACGCGTGTCCGCACTTGTAATGGGTTGACTTCAGTAAACCTATTTGGAGGCTGTTATCTCTGGCTTGTGTTTCGGTGGCGAGGAGGGGGGGGTCTAGGAAAGTAATACAGTAGTTAGAGTGCGTTTTTCAATTTTCTGCCCATCATACTGTGCCGGAGAGAAAGCTTTGCGGGGAGGCGCGGCGGAGAGTCTGGC